GAACAATGCAACTCAAACTTTTAAAAAAATATATCTGTTTAGGCACTTATCTATCCACTTTTTTTTCTTTTCTCTTTTTTTTCATTTTGACACAAGGTCTCGGTATATATGTAGCTCAGGCTGGCCTCAAACTTATGGTTCCTGCCGTAGGCTCCTGAGTACTGGGATCAGAGGTTTCCACTACCATCTGTCCACTTTCTTTATGTTCTCACCAAAGCAATGTTGGTCAAGGAACTTAGGAATTCCTCTTGACTATTACTGGTCCTGTAATACTAGCTCCAATTTGGTTAAAATTGTCTCCTAATTGGCTTTCTGATTTGGGTGATAATTTTTTCTTTATACAACCTATACTTTAAAAAATCATATAAACAGTTTACCACTGAAGACACACAGATAGAGTAAGGCTGATAAAAATGTTTTAAAAAGTGAAAGGAATTATATGAAAATCTAAGGTAGTTTTTTTTTTAATATTTAAACGTATCCTGAAGTTTTTTTTTTTTTCTCTCCCCTGAAAGTACTAGGATTTGAACTCAGGCTTTCACATATGCCAGATGTGCATGCTACCACCTGAGCCACACCTCTGGCCCATTTTGGCTTTAGTTATTTTTCAGTTAGGGTCTTATACTTTTGACTGAGGCTGGACTCAGTCCTACCTACACTTCCCATGAAGCAGGAATTACAGCTGTATACAACCAGGTCCCAGCCAGTCCTGAAGCTTCTTAACAACCAAGGCAGAAATAGAAGCATATTATGATTCCTACTGCCCTAACTCAAATGACAACACAAAGGATTTCCAAAGTGAAAATTAAAAATTTTTTAAACCTAAGAAGGCAAATCCAGATAATGAATGATGTCTTCAATGACATTTTTATGGAGGATGCAAAAATTATTAATGATAACACCATGTTTATTATGGATTTGCTATACACCAACATAGCTTTATGCATAAAATGTAGAAATACCATGAATGTCATACTAAAACTTTCGACAGAACTGAGACCAGAACACTAATTTCCTAATGCTTAATTTGGCAATTTTCCATTTCTTCACTGTATTATGCTATACTTGCCATATATGGAAGAGAATTTGACCTGGGAATTGCACGCACGTACATATAGATGTAAAGCCAACATAAACATATACACTTTACCAGTACCCACAATCCTTCCCAAACAAGAGATGAGTCCTTTTAGTAGACACACATGATCTACTAATGACACTGCTAAACCCACACAGCACCCCCCAAGCCAATGACTTACTGAACTTGTCTATTTCTCATGGTCTGTTACGTCATGATTTTTCTAAGTCATGTAATCTCTCTTCCCATCACCATGCACTAATCAATACACAGAGTACAAAAATAAATAACATTGAGCCTATGATAAAAACCAATCTGAGTTTTCAGTTTAACATCAGCCACCAAATGGCTGTATGAGCAAACCAAAGAGTACAATTTATGCCTATTTAACATGTATCATGGTCTAAATGCTAATAATAATTATACTAGGGACATCAAAACTTAAAGACTAGATGAAACACGGCAGGCCCCAGAGTTTTAGTAATACTGATAGCTCCCCCCGCATCCTCCCCACCTTCCCACCCCCCCATCGTCACAAAGAACACCAACAAATACATCTTGCCATACTTAGAAAACCAGGAAACTACCAACCACCTTTTTTTCTTTCAGTTACCTGACAAATCTGAGTGAATATATTCATAGGCTAAATTGCCTTGAGTTGTTTTAGATGGAAACACATACATTTGAATGTAACGAGCTATTTTCTTACTGAAAACCAATTCCTGAAAATGTACAGAAACTGAAGGATTACAATTAGTTCTTTCATTCAGGAGACCATGGTGCTTATGCTCCCCCAAACTGGGAGTCTTCTGACCCTCCTTCTTCAGCTTCAGCCAGTCTTACTCGGTGGTTCTGAAAATTGATTTTTGGAGCAGCAGCTGCTGCATCACCTAGGAACTTAACAGAAATGCAAATGCCTTTTGAAAATTTTTATTAGCATATATTAATTGTACAAAGGGATTTCATTGTGATATTTCCATACATGCATTTTATGTACTTTGAATTCACCCTTCTGTTGCTTTCTTGTCTCCCTCTCCCCTCTTTAAATCAATTTTAATGAGTTTCATTATTCTATTTAGAAATGCAAATTATTGTTATTATTATTAGTTGGGAGTACTGGGGTTTGAACTCAGGCCTTCACACTTGCTAGGCAGGTGCTCTACCCCCTGAGCTATGCCTCCAGCCCCAGAAATGCAAATTCTTATCCTCACCTACATCTACAGAATCAGAATCTCTAGGACACAGTCCAGGACTCAGGTTCTGATGAGTTCTCCAGGCTATTTTGATGCTCACTGGAGTTTGAGAACTGATGTGAATGAAGGGCTCCTCCAGTTGTTTTTCTCTTTGCTGTCTTCGTTCATTTCTAACTTACATTCTCATTCTTTTTTTCTTACTGGCTATACTGGGGATTGAACTCAGGGCCTCACGCTTGCTAGGCAGGCACTCTACTACTTGAGTCATACCTCCAGTCCTCTTGCTTTTAGTTTACTTTTCAGGGAGGATTTCATGCTTTTATCCTCCTAATCTCCTCCTCCCAAGTAGCTGGGATTACAGGTGTGTACCACAATATGTGGCCTACATTCTCATTCTTAATTACCTCCTGCTGCCTATTATAAATGTACTCATTGGAAACTGTACTCCAGTGCAGCATGCATGTAAGTGAAGATGCTCTAACCATCCCACCACCTTGACTCACACAGAAAACATCTATGAGTTCTCTGCCCTTTCCTAAACCTTGGCTGCCTGTTCTCAGCTGCATTCACCTCACACTGAGGATGCAGTAATCAGAGAATCCATCCAACTGGCCATCAAGACTGCTTGACACTTTGGTCACAGCTCTTCTCCAGAAACCACCTGCATGTGTGTGTGCACATGATCCTCACACTGCTTGCGTCACTCCTGGCCTTCTCTGCTGACTTGCATGGCGGCGGAGTGATCCCTGAAGATGTTCGAGGCCTTCTTACTCCAGATGGAGGGCTGTGGGTTTTTTATGACCTCTGGTCTGCTTCTGCAGACCCAATGGGTAAACATGGGATGGCAAAATCCAGCAGATAAAATGCATCAGGTAAAGAACTGGAGAGGAGCAGCTATGTTTATAACAATGATTTGCACTGAAGAGAAAGGAAGCATTCTGGAAACTGTCTCACTTTCTCTTAGGACCCAGCACTAACTCCACTAGGTTGGCTCCTCTCTCTGTCTCCAGAAGTCATATTACTGTATTTGAGAATGTCCAAAGATGGTGGCATGGGTAAAGTGGACATCTTACTGTCAATATCCATTGAGGTCATTATAATATAGACATATGAAATTATAAATTATTTATTAAATTTTAATAAATTTGGGCAACTTACATCTCATAATAATAGAATTCTGTTTGCCATATGTCACTGATTTCAAGAGAAGAATACTACTTTTATATTTCACAATACTGGGGAGAAGGGATTACTTGTTGTATGTTTTAGAATACTGAACAACTTTTTCACCCTATATTTTTCTATTACTAACATGTTCAATTAATCAGTTCACTTAGTTGTGGCCCTGGCAGCTGTCTGTCAGTCACTGCTGCATGGGTGTCAACGGACAGCTGACCCTCTCCTACTGCTTTCAAAAGTGCCTACTGTATACATGTGCTGAAATATCACTCTGTGCCCTTAGTATGTACAATGAAAACATGTAAACAAAGTAAACTGCATTATAAAGTGATGTAAGAGGAAGTTTCAAATAATGTGCTTAAAGAGGTTTATTTGGCTATCTCTGCTCCCCTGTCCCTCCACTAAAGGATAATGGCCATTGTGAATGTGACGTGGAGGTGATGCTGACTTGGAAAAACTGCTGAAACACGGTTCAGTGGAAGCACAGGGATGGATGGAGAGTCCCTGACTTAATTCATGCCAGGGATAATTTGCTGCCTTTTTTATAACCAGAAAAGGAGTTTAGAGCTCTGCACATCACTAGACTCTAAGATCCTAGGACACTCCCTGAGTGTCACTCCCTGGTGAGGGGCATCTGAGCTGCAACTGTCACTTGGATTCCTCCACAGCACAGCAACCCTCCCTCCTCCATTTTGTATTAAACCAGGTAATGGGGAGGCATAACCTTAGGATTGCCATGTATTTTATTTTCCAAATTATATGTTTAATTTTTTATTGTTGTACTAGGGGTACACTATGACATTTATAAAAGTTCTTACAACGTATCATAGTTGAATTCACCCTCCATCATTTTCCTATATCCTCCCCTCCCCCCATTCCTGGAACAGTTTCCACACATCTCATTTTTCCATTTTCATACATGAGTACATAGTATTTCCCCTATGTTCACCCTACTTCACCCTTCCTTATGTCCCCTACCTCCCCACCCCACTGGCACCAGACAGGACCTGCTTTTCCTTCTTGTTCTGTTTTTTGGAAAAAAAAAGACATTTTTGTTTGTTTAAGATAGCTACACAGGGAGTAATCTTGTGACATTTCCATATATATATGTGTGTGTGTGTATATATATATATATATATATATATATATATATATATATATATATATATATCCTAATTGGTTCATTCCCCTCTATTTTTCTCATTCTACTTTAGTCCCCTTCTTATGGTGATTTCAACAGGTTTACAAATTCTATATTCACTCTTGTCACTATGTATTTTAAACACCTTTGCAAAACTAGGAAGGCCGATTCTCAAGTATGTAATCCATAAAAACAGTAAGAGAGAAAAGCTCATCTCAGTGCGAACTGTCATTGCACTACAAAGGCTGCAAAACTGCTAGCATGAATAGTACGTGCTTCTTGCCTCACACAGCTCTCCTGATGGGTGCAGTTTTCACTCCTCTCTCCTGCAGAGAGGCCTCAGGCTCACTGTATCTCCTCTGTTCCCCGCACAGCACAGGTCTCCAGGGAACTGGCTTGCTTACCTCCTTCAGGTCTGCACCACGGCTGTGAGCCGCTCGTTTTCTGCCTGGACGTTGGCGACCACAGCCCGGCTCTGCTTCAGCTCGTTCTGCATCTCCAGGATCTTGCCTAGATAGTAAGCTTCCTTCGAAGCTGACTCCTGCAGAAGTGTTTCCTCCCGAGTCTCCCCATCCTCAGCCACTTTGCGGTGGATGGAAAAGGACTGCCCGAATGCCTGCAAGCATCAGAAAGAAAGAGTGAACAAGGAGAGGCACCCCGGTGCTACAAACTGACGGCCAGGTGTTTTGTTTGGCTTTGTGTGTCAGAAGAGCTACTCTGAAAGCTCTCCGTATATACATTTATATGTATATATTTATTTGTATATGCATACACACGTATGCATGCATGTAGTACATATGTGCATATGTAACAGTTTAGCAGCTCTAATCAATGCTTGAAATAATTCATATCCAATTGTGTGTGTGTGTGCGTGCGGACGCTGGGGATTGAGCCCTGGGCTTTGCACACACTAAACACACACTCTGTCATTGAGCTACACCCCAGCCACTCCAAATCCAATCATATGGAGAAAGAAAATTTTAAAACATCATGAAAAAATATGTGTGTTAAAGCAAACTTGGAAAGCATTGCCTGTCGTTTTATGCTGTCACTGTTTAGACAAATACTAGGTTCAGTGTTAATGATCCCATCAAAACTCATGTTGTCACCTTCCTTCTAGAAAAAAAAACACAAGTACTTTCCAAGAAAGAAAGTAACAATTTCATGAGCATTCTAATACATTAGCAGCAAGGGCAGACCAAGTACGTCTAGTATCCTTAAGACAAAAAGTCACCAAACAATATTCAAATTGCCTAATAGCACAAAAAGACCTTGAAATGTCATCTCTGTATAAGAAAACGTGTCAGTTTACTTGTGCAAAGAGAAATGAAGGAGAATAAACCACAAACTAATGAAAGTGGTTCCCTGCAAGGGATGGTAGGGTGGAAGAGGGGAGGAGAGAAGGAATTGTGATAGCAGAGAGGAGAGGAGAGTGATCTTAGATCCGACTATGCCTTCGTGTATAGTTCCGACTCTTAGAACTATAGCAATATTTCACACCTCTCCCCAAATAAACAATAATCAAAATCAACATCTGCGGGTAGGGGAACCCCAAAATGAAATATAAACAGTAACAAATGAACCTAGCTATATTACAAATGAACAATACAGCCACAGTGAAAAGGGTGGGGAAGAAAAGAACTAACCTGAATGATTTTGGAAACCAGTATTTTTACTATATCATCTTTCTTACAGTAGAATTCTAATCCTATGGAAGGAATGGTGGAAGTAAATTGTATCAGCATTTGGGCAAACACCAAGAAATAAATATTTCAGGAAAGAATCATCCATGTAACCTAAAATTTGTTGGGAGGAAGTACAATGAGGAACAGGGTGTTTGCAGAAACTTAAAAGTGTCTCCCCTCTTTGACAAAGGTGCTAAGAATATACGATGGAGAAAAGATGGCCTCTTCAACAAATGTTGTTGGGAAAAGTGGTAGTCTGCAAAAAAATGAAACAGATAAACCATGTTTATCACCCTGTACTAGTATCAACTCAAAATGGATCAAGGACCTTAATATCAGACCTGAAACTCTAAAGTTGGTACAGGAAAGAGCAGGAAACACTCTGGAAGTAATAGATATAGGCAAGGACTTCCTCAATAGAACCCCAGCAGCTCAGCAACTAAGAGAAAGTATAGACAAATGGGACTTGAGAAAATATTTGCCAGCTACCCATCAGTCAAAGGACTGATAACCAGAATATATAGGGAACTCAAAAAACTAAACTCTCCCAAAATTAATGAACCAATAAAGAAATGGGCAACTGAATTAAGCAGAACTTTCTCAAAAGAAGAAATTCAAATGGCCAAAAAACACATGAAAAAATGCTCAGCATCCCTAGCCATAAAGGAAATGCAAATCAAAACCATACTAAGATTCCACCTCACTCTTGTTAGAATAGCCATCATTAAAAATACTACTAACAATAGGTGTTGGTGAGGATGTGAGGAAAAAGGAACCCTCATACACTGCTGGTGGGAATGCAAGCTAGTACAACCATTCTGGAAAATAATTTGGAGGCTTCTTAAAAATCTAAACATAAATCTGCCATATGATCCAGCAATCCCAAAGGATTACTCCAGAGGTACCTGCACACCTATGTTTATTGAAGCACTATTCACAATAGCCAAGTTATGGAAACAGCCAAGATGCCCCACTACTGATGAATGGATTAAGAAAATGTGGTATTTGTACACAATGGAATTTTACTCAGCCATGAAGAAGAATGAAATGTTATCATTTGCAGGTAAATGGATGGAACTGGAGAACATCATCCTGAGCGAGGTTAGCCAGGTCCAGAAGACCAAAAATCATATGTCCTCCCTCATATGTGGACTTTAGATCTTCAGCAAATACAGCAATGCGATTGGACTTGGGTCACATGATAAGGTGAGAGCATACACAGGAGATATGGGGACAGGTAAGAAACCCCAAAAACATGATAGTATTTGAGGTCCTCACTGCAGAGGAACTAACACAGAAACTCTAAAGTGACAGAGGTCAATATGAGAAGGGGATCAGGAACTAGAGAAAAGGTCAGTTAGAGATGAATCAACTTAGAATGTAACACATTTATACATGGAAGCAACGCTAGGAATCTCCCTGTATACTATCCTTATCTCAACTAGCAAAAATGCTTTGTCTTTCTTCTTATTATTTATACTCTCTCTTCAACAAAATTAGAGATAAGAGCTGAACAGATTCTGCCTGAAAGCAGGGGTGGGGGATGGGGGGGAGAGAAGGGAGTGTGGGTAGAGGGGAGGAATGGCCCAAACAATGTATGTACATATGAACAAATGAGAAAACAAACTAACAAACAAAAAGGGTCTCCCCTCAAAACTCTAGTTCCAAATGGAAAGCAGTAACTTTACTGGGAGATACCACTTTGTCTAAACAACCAAAAGTTAGATTAACAGCAATGAGACACTGACACCATGTAACAAATGCATTTTAGTGGTATTCCTCCCAACAATGCATAAACCAATTCTTATCATAAAAAATATCAGACAAATCCAACCAGGGGTGGAGGAGGGGACAGTCTACAAAATTATTGGCCAGGACTCTTTAGAAGCATGAAGTTCATGAAAGTCCTCTAGACTGGAGAAGAAGAAGACATGATACTTAAGTATCCAGGATGGGCTTCTGAACCTGAAACAGGGCACTGGTAGAACAACTGGCAACACTGTGATTAGTTCTTCAGTATGGGTACTGATAGTGCATCAATGTCAATTATGAGTTGCCATAATTGTACTGCGGTTATGTAAGATGGTAACATTTGGGGATGCTACTGTAAAGGGCATGAGTGTAGCATTTTAGCCACTTTCTCTAAGTCTAAAGATACTTCAAAAAAAAAAAAAACTATCAGGACACTAATGCCTCATACCTGTAATCCTAGCTACTCAAGATGCAGAGATCAGGAAGATCGAGGTTCAAAGCCAGCCTGGACAAATAGTTTGTGAGATCCTATCTTGAAAATATCCAATACAAAAAGGGGCTGGGAGAGTGGTAGAGCACCTGCCGAGCAAGCGTGAGTCCCTGAGTTCAAAGCCCAGTACCACCAAAAGTAAATAAATATATAAAAAGCTAGTAAATAAATGAATACAGTCCCTGCTCTAAAGTAGTTGACAGATCTGATGAGGTACTGACACAAAGGGAATGGAAGAGCATATGGCTAGAAACATGAAAGAGACATGATTCAGTGAGAAGTTCTATGGTTTTATCCTGTAACATGATTTATTATATTTTGAAATTTAAATGTCACAATATAGTGCTTCTGAACGATACTATCATCTATGGTTACACACTGGTTACACTGTAAATCTGAAGGCAGAAAGGATCTGTGTTAATCATAGTAGGAGACATATCTAATAATGGATAGTAACAGCCAGTATGACTTAGTAGCTTTAAAGATAATCTGACATTTTCCTAAATAATCCAGAAACAAAAGTTTTAACAAAGTACTCTGAACACCTGCGTCTTAGTAAATGGTCTTAGAATCTCAACAAAATCAAAATCACAAGATGGTTCCTAAGCAGCCACTGAGGAAGAAATACAAACACTTGTCTGTCCAGAGTGAAACACTCTCAAGGCTTGACTTGCTCAATATCTGGCAGAAAGAAATTCTTGAGTAGTTAGATTTCCACATCTGATAATTAGCACATAAACTGATGCACAGATGAAAACATGACTTTGGAGGTGATGTTTATTCTGCTCTTCTACCAGTAATGATCACATTCTGTGAAGTCAATTCTGAATTGATTACCCACTAAAATGGTCTGGAGGCTGGGTGTGGTGGCTCATGCCTGAAATTGTAACTACTCAGGAGGCAGAGATGATTCCAGGCCAGCCTGGGCAAAAAGTTCCCCAAACCCTATCTCAACCAATAAAAGTGCTGAGCATGGTGGTACAGGTCTGTCATCCCAGACACATGGGAAGCGTAAATAGGAGAATTGTGGTCCAGGCTGCTCTAGGCATAAACCAAGACCCTATCTCAAAAATAACCAATGCAGAAAGAGCTGGAAATGTGGTTCAAGTGGTAGAGTGCCTGCCTAGCAAGCATGAGCCCCTGAGTTCAACCCTCAGTACCACCACCACCACCACCAAACCTATGGGAGGGAATGAGTCAAACAGCAGCTCTCCCTACAGTGAGCTGGTAAGTCTTCAGCAGACTCTTACCCTGCCACAGGATCCTTGAATATATACAGTCAAGTGTTGGTAAAATACAAAATTAGCATGAATTATGAGCCAAGAACTTCAGTTAACTTCTTTTTTCACAACTATTTTGCCACTCCTGTGCACAGAAAACTAGAAGCATCTGCCACAGGGGCAGTTTCTTCACTCTGCTTGTGTAAAATCAACAGGCACTGTATGGCTATCATGTTCTTTAAGTACAGACAATGCTCTCTTCTAGGTTCAAACAACTCCCAAAGTCGTAATGAAAAGTGAATTTATATTTCCACCCTAATATAAAGTTTTTGGCCCCAAAGGAAGTGAAAAAAATTCAGATATAGACAATGGAAATAGACTTTCAAAAAAGAATCAAGAATTAAGATTGTAAATGTAAATTTTTATGAATACCTAATTGTATTTAGTCCAGCTCAGAAATTTTTAACTG